ACCGAGGGTTCGAGTAGATGTATTAGTGTGTTGTGGAATCAGTGTTCGTGGACCCCTATCTAAGTGTGATTGGGTAGGTGCAAATGTGCGAGAGGTTTTAGGCACTTGGCTGAATGTGCGTGTAATACTGGTGGTGGTCGTTCACTCGGTGAGTTGATCGGTGTCAATTTTGTACTGGTCCCGTCGCATTTCCAACGTTATATCAGCCACCTCCGAATCGATAGCAATCCAAACGTAGGTGTGGGCATGGGGTGTAGATGAGTGAATAGAGGTCAGCGCCCACCCACATCCACCCTTTTGGATATAGTTTCATAGGTGGATATTCATCATGCTATACGCCAGATCATCGAGATCTCGATAGACCAAGGCAGCTTTGGCAACGAGCTACAGTAGCGATAACTGCTTACGCAACACTTGTCATTGGTTTTTAACTGTTTACAGATACGTTCAGAATATCATGAACCGAAATAATGTGTGAGTAATTGTGTGGTCGAGCCACTAAGTGATATTTTGGTGCTTGCGCACATTAGAATATTCGTTCACTATAGTCATTGGTGTTTCGTGGAGAGAAGTATCCTTTTCATAAATGTTGAATTATTCTATTCCATTGAAGACATTGGAATCCGCGATCGAATAACCTACGACCAACTGTTCGATTTCCCTATCAAGTAGATTTTTCATGAGAGTTGATGGGGCATAGCTAGTAGTTATAGTCGAGATCGGACACGTGTCTGTCAGAATTATATACAGTGCATATTTGTAACAGAGGAAACAGTTTAAACAGTAAATCATGCATAACTGAAGAAAGATGACAATCAAAATTACGAAACTCGATCACATATTCGGCTTCCATAGTGGAAGCCACACAGTTACAGCCACCCCCACACCCATAGGAAATCTTGTTAAGTTTCTTAAAAAGTTTGTTTTCATAGAGTGAGGTAAGCATACCTAGTTTTTATGCTAATAATATCAGACTTAGCGAAGTTACATAAAAGAAATGAATCTTGATCAGAGTAAACACACAAATTAGTATGTATGCTTTTTACAAAGTGCGTTTGTTTAATCAACATTGATTTTATGTAAGTTCAATTCTTGCTAATGACTTTTGAAATATAAAGAGTGGGTAAAACCCAACTATAGTATCAGTATTATTAGCATATCTTCTTTTCTTCCGACTCAAATGGGCTCATTTTTTGTCACAAGATTCCTCATCTCATTCTCGAAAAAAAATTACTTTACTGCATCAATAGGGTGTAACATAATCTTTTCATGCGTCGTAACTAAATGATGACCTTAGGCGCATTTTACAAATATTTTATTTTACAAGCTCTTTAAATTGTGTTTCAATTCTTTAATTTTGATATATCCTTGCCGAAAAAAATGGCCACTCAGAATTTCAATTAATCTGTTGCAAGAAAAAATGCTTTTCTCAACGGCTTTAGTATCTGAAAACTGGAACGAAAGGACATTCCGCCAAGACTACATAATAACAGAAAAATTACAACACAATATAAAATACTCTGAAGAAGAAAAAATTTAATATTATGCGCTCAACATCATCATTTAGTTACAATGTATGAAAATAATTGAGTATTTCCTATTGAATTGGTAAAATATACTTTTGTTTTTGTAGAAAATGGAATGAAAAATCTTATGAACAAAAAAGAGCATGATTGAATCTAAAGAAAAGTTGAAAATACTGACATTCTACTATAGTTACTATTGATTCACCTGTTATGTGAAGCTTTACAGAATATCTTATATCAAGCTTGACGTTGTTGCCATGCTTTCCTATCTTCTCCGATAAAATAAGAGAACTCTTATAACCATAGTGAAAACTAGTATATCATTTCAGAAATAGACTTCTGACGACAGGTATGACTTTACTACAAGTTGTCATCAGTGCTATCTTAACACTATCTTATGCAAACGTACGACAACATCATTACAATCTCTACAATACAGATCAAATAAATGGGGATTTTTCACACGATTGCATTTATCACATGATAAATGATCAGCAAGAGATGGATGACAAAAAATTCAATAGTCAGCAGCTTATTGAGTACTGCATTAGATCATCTTCGATAGAAAACAATGATGTCGTCAAAGGACCAATATTCTCGACATTAACCTTCGATCAGCTGAAAAAAACAAATGTGACAGCTGAAAGTCTTATAAAATGGTCAAGTCCTATTGATCTTATCGAACGTTATCAGAACTTTTTACAAATGAATAATTCCTTATCAATGGAGATATTTTATAATTGTACTGTACCATGGTTTGGACCATTGTGTCAATACAAATTTCCTATTAATCGTTCCTTTTCGAACATTATTGACATAACAATCGATTTGAAATGGACGCATAGTTCTCATGGAAAATTCACTTGTTATATGCACATGAAATGTGATCGTGGCTCCTCTCTCATATGTCTTGATTGGCGAGAGATATGTGATGGGAAAATCGATTGTGTTGATGGCGGTGAAGACGAAAAATACTGTCTTGAACTTCACATGAATCAATGTTCCGATAATGAATATCAATGTCGAAATGGAATGTGTATCAATGAAGCATTTTTAGTAGAAACCGGTATAGACGGTGCAGCCGGTTACGAATGTTTGGATCGATCAGACGAGCCTATTCATTTTAGGGCGCGATTTAGTTGTCAATATTACCTAAGCTTTCGCTGTGAAGAAGCTTCTTGTCCATCTCCTGATTATTTCTCCTGTGGTGATGGCCGTTGCATACCTTGGCCTTTACTAACAGGTAGAAACGATTGTGTAAATAATCGTGATCAAGTGTTTAACTACCAGTTTGAGTGGAACAGTGAAGAGTCTACAAGATTTCCTCGTTGTTTTAAGATTGCAATTTGTGCATCAAATATTTTCTCAACAGATGAATTCGATACTTATTGTAAGGCATTATGTGGAAATGTTCAAGAATGTAAAATGAATCTTGAATATTGTCCATCTTATTTCTTTGCACCTGGTTTTCCTGTGTGGGATGGACATATAAGATTAGGCTACTTTTCCAATCAAACAATCATTAATAATCGCTTTCTAATACCACATTTCGTCTGTTTTGATAAACATAAATGTTCATTTCTCATGCCAACATTCGAAGTCAATAATTATACGTGTCTACATAGTCATAAACTGAACTTTTCATCTAACAAAGATTTTTATACGATATTTCTTGCCTGCACTCGTCGCTATCAAAGTATCACTGATATTCCTTGTCTGCAGTCATCTATGTTACGTTGTGTTGGAACGAACAAATGTATTCCAAAGCATCACATCATGGACACAATTCCAGATTGTTATGACGCTTTCGACGAATCACTTTCATCTAATTCATGTTCATTGAATGATAGATATCGTTTTCATTGTACATCCGAGAAAAAATGTCTATTACTTACCATGGTAAATAACAATGTAAAACAATGTATTGATGGAGAAGATGAACCCGATTTCTCTGGACGGATAACGGATATTCAGAAACTTCCTTTCTCTGCTTTATGTGACGGTAGGAGAGAAATATTTTCTTCAACAAACGAAACCGACGAGACTCATTGTGAGCCATGGCCATGTGTAAATCAATATACAGAATGTAATGGAATATGGCAGTGTCCGAAAGGCATTGACGAAATCAATTGTCTATCGAACTTTCACTGCCCTACTGATCATCATCCTTGTGTATTTCCAAAGAATCAGACAATCGGTTGTTTGCATCTAAATCGAACTGAAGATGAAATTGTGGATTGTCTTGGAGCAACAGATGAGAGAACATTTTGCCGTCTATCATACCCAACTGATCCACTTAACCGTTATCGATGCTGGAACGACACTTTATGTGTTTTTCACCTTGTTCGTTGTCGTGAATGCAAAAAATTTGATGGCATCGATGAACTTTGTCAATCAGATGCTAATACAATTTCGAATATGTTCCAATACTTTCAGGATATGCTGGAAATGCATCTTACCAAAAAATTACCATTTTCTCCTCAATCTTCACGTCCACTTCCCATGAAACAATCGCTACCATCGGTTAACAAACTCATACAATATCAGATGAAAGAAATAGAAGAATCGAACGACTACAATGAGTTAGACGTGCGACAAGCGTGGTTATGTCATCGAGGTATATTAATTTACGTCGGCCAAAATGAAAGTGAGCAATGTCTATGTCCACCAAATTATTATGGTGATCGTTGTCAGTACCAAAATCAACGCGTTAGTCTTACTCTTCGACTGCGAAACGAAAATTTAGAAAAATTTAATGTCATTGGTATTATTGTCACTTTAGTCGATGATACTGGTTTCATTCATTCATATGAGCAATTCACCTATATACCTGTTCATGATTGCAATAATAAATTCAATATTTATCTGCTCTATCGGGATCGACCGAAAAACATTACGAAGAACTACACAATCCATATTGATGCATATGATAAAGTCAATCTTCTTTATCTTACAAGTTGGATATTGCCAGTAAAATTTCCTTTTATGCCCGTCAATCGTGAGAGTGCTGTACTGGTAATTCCAGCACCACATGGCTGTCACCGAACATGTAACTCAAAGTATTATGAACAAAAAATAAATAATAATATCGAATCTTGTCAATGTAAATCGAATCACTCTGAAATGATTTCTATTAATCAAGATCAATGCAATTGCTCACCAGATTCTATTTGTGTTGGTCTTGTAAATAATAGATCGATTTGTCTGTGTCCTTTAACGAAGATATCACCACGATGTTTTCTTAACTCGATCTGTCAAATGAATGTGTGTTTAAATCAAGGTCTTTGCGTACCAGACAATGATCGCATTTCTTTCATAAATTTCACATGTATATGTCAGGATGGATTTACTGGACAAAGATGTGAAGAAAATGATGTCAAAATTGATATTTCATTTTCTGATGTGACGATTCCTCAATCATTTCTCGTTCATTTTATCACAGCGCATGACTATAACATCAGAAGTCAGAATCCAATGCCAACTCGAGCGACCATGTTCAAAAAGATTGATTTCGATCAAGATACAGTCATCGTCTACATGCCATTGCCATTTCATCTTGTCTTCGCTCAAATTGAAAAGAAATTTTATCTTATTGTTCTTCAATCGAACTATACACGTTCAGCTAACATTTCTACAGAAATTGCTCGATCACAACATTGTCCATACATTCAAGAACTCTTCGATCAACAAATTCTTGATTATCCAATCCTTCGTCGAGTTAAATACTATCACCTTCCATGCATGAAAGATTCTGATCTTTTTTGTTTTCATGATAATGAAACATTCATGTGTCTTTGTACAGAAAAAAGGCATGCCAATTGTTTTCATTTCGATTTCAAAATGGCTTACGATTGTATGGGTTGGAACGATTGTCAAAATGAAGGACAATGTTTTCAAGATCATCCAACATGTCCAACAAAGACGATGTGTGTCTGTCGGGAATGTTTCTATGGTACAAAATGTCAGTTCACTACGAAACAATTCGGCCTCTCACTTGATGCTATTTTGGGTTATCAAATTCATCCTCGTCTACCCATTACTCGACAATCTATATATGTCAAAAGTAGTATTGTTGTGGCCACAATAATGCTTGCTGTTGGTATAACTTTTGGAACTCTATCTATTTTGACTTTTCAATCGAAGTCATGCCAAAAAGTGGGTACTTGTTTTTACCTTCTGGCATCATCGATTACATCGATTCTGATCATTATTACTTTGAATCTAAAATTGTGGTTTCTTATTCTTTCTCAAATGTCTATTATTACGTCGACATATTTTCTTTTGTTCAGTTGCATTTCAATTGAATTTATTCTTCGATCTTTATTAGCTATCACTGATTGGTTACATGCCTGTGTGGCTGTTGAACGACTATGCACGGTCATTCTCAATATTAATTTTAACATGACAAAAAGCAAAAAAATTGGAAAATTAATTATTCCTTTTATGTTTCTATTCACAATGATGTCTCTTCTTCATGATCCTATACATCGTCGTCTAATTGAGGATGAAGAAGAAAAACGAACTTGGTGTCTGATTCGTTTTACGTCAACTGTCGAAAACTATAATTCATTTATTAATATTTTTCATTTTCTTATGCCTTTTTCAATTAAAGTTGGCTCAATTATTGGCATTATTGTTTGTTTATCAAAAAGACATGCATCTACAAAGAAACAAAACTCGTACATGGAACATCTAAAAAAGCAATTTCACATCCATAAACATCTTATACTTAGCTCTAGTCTCTTGGTTATTTTAGCTTTACCTCGTTTTATCATTTCTTTCTTGTTTGGATGCATGAAATCATCAAGAGAACCTCTGTTGTACTTGATTGGTTACTTTGTTTCATTCATTCCGTCGCTACTCACATTTTTTATTTTCGTCTCAACGTCGAAAACATATAAAAAAGAGTTCAAAATAGTGATGAGACGAATATGGAAAGAAATTCAACGTTCTTTACAGTTACAATAGTTCATCCCAGGTCAAACGACCCCAGTCGGATCTCGCCAGTTCGGAATAATTTCGGTCGGATCCGGTCCTATATTTGTCGGATTCCCATCAGCCGGATTCCGGTACGGATTTCATCGGAATTCGACGGAACGTGATAAAATCCGACCTGATCCGGCCCGGATTTCATCGTGTTCCGTCGAATTCCGATGAAATCCGGACCGGAATCCGGCTGATGGGAATCCGACAAAAACCTTGCCGGATCCGATCGTTTTTTTATGAAAAATGTCGGTTTCCGGTGAAATCCGAGGCGGACCCGATCGTTTTCGATCGAGTCTACAGGTCGGATTGAATCTCCTGGGATGACACAAAATCTTACATCTAACAGACTTTTTAAGATGTCGAATATTGAATTATTAGCTATTTATTTATAAAAATACTACTTATAGATATTGTCTGTTTCTCATTTAAGAAATAAAAAGTGATTAGACACGCAAAAACACTGTTATAGGGTATAAAGATCTGTGGATTGATATTGACAAATAGCTTGATATTGAGAAAAGGGTGCGGATGTGGCTTTTCGCTTGTTCGACTCTTACAAACAGAGCCAGAACAACGCCCACCTATACCCATCACTGGTAATCAATTAATCTTGAAAAAAATTTCAGTTTCAACAGAGCTGTAGTGATAAGCTTTTTAAACAAAACTCATTATTCGATAATCGACATCTAATTATCGTTTTCCTATATTTTTTTCAGGAACTTCTAATTCATCATCGGATAAATAATGAAGATTATATTGATAGAACTATAAAACAATTCTTCATTATCAACAATCTCAACTGTATTTGAACCACAATTTTGCAATTATCTGAATTTAAACCATTTACATGTCAATCATTAACTTCTATGCTTAAAATTAATTTAAATATAGCACTTCTTTCGATATCATTGACATCTGAAAGCTTATTGATGTTCTGCAACTGTACAAGCAATTAATGAAAGTTCTCAAACAAATAAACATCCTCTTGAAGTAACAACAATAGCACCAAAATGTTTTTTTTTAATTCTGACGAACAACATTTACGTACATCAGCATGTTCAACATGTCAAGAACAAATATGTGTATATATGAAATCTGATATTCATACTGTGCTTGACATATCTGAAATATCAACAATAAATAATAATAAGTTATGCAACAAGGTTGTAAAGTTGAAAAACATCAATTATCAATAAGAAATAATATGAATAAAAAATATTACTTCCGAGTTTTCAAACCGAATAGTAATGAAAAAAACAAGATCTAAGTACGGTAAGTTGTTATCTTTCTTCAAAAGTTTCGAGTTTGGAGCTACGAAATTTACAAACTGTAAAACTCTTCATAAAAATTATTCCATGTGAGATTATAAAACAGAAATCGTGCATGCGCTTCTCTGAGAAACAAGCATATACTTTACGGTATCTCTAGGCATAAAATTATTGAATTCGACATCGAACATCTATGAAGGTTACCTTGTCAATCAGCACTGCATATACTTGATATATGATTTTATTTCTCAGAAAAACAATGAAATTAATATGTTTCTAGAGATTTTCAGTTTGTCTACAAAGTCGTATGTTTTTGTTTTAGTCGTTTGTAAAAATATACAATAAACTACACGATCAAGATTATACTTGTCACGATGAGTAATGAATCATTGTTAAGATATTTATTATGATCAACGGGACACAATTAGTCTTTTCATTCATTTCAGCATTTTTAGTTTGTGTTTCACAGAAAGTGCAAATGCGAATGATGCGATGCTACAAATGATAAAATATTATTTATTGCCATAAATCAGGCCCATGATTTCGGTGTTTGGACTCGTCATTTTCCTATTGAAATTAGTTAGAGAATTCCATACAATTTTTAGGAGTAGAAATTTACTGGGATTCAATCTTTCTCACAACAGATGGCTTGCCCCAATCTTGTTCTCTTTACAACGACATAGTCTATTTATTTTTATTTTACTTATTGCTAGAGAAAGAGAACAAGTGTTTGAAAATTCTGTTTTTTGCCCAAAGTTACGACGAATCTGTGGAAAATCGATAGAGTATTGAACATTTCGAGAAGGAGACTTCACCTCATCGAGAATCTTGTACTTAAACGCTGATTTTTCTTATGTTATAGTCGGCTTTAGCTAAAGCTTGAAAAACTCGTGCCAACAACTTGAAACATTATATTATGGCTGTCAAACAATTCAAAGTTAACGTAACCTATTAGTTACAACAGCACTTTCACGTTTATTAAAAAATGATAATTTACTTCGATCTAATGTACTAAAATCAAACATCAATAAACTTATTAAATATGATATTTTATAATTATTTTGAATATTATACAATTCAATCTGAAGCGCAAGATAATGGGAGTTCTGAACATTTTAAAACAATGCATATAAATGTATTAAAATTACTTATTGAACTATGTTTATCATTAAACAGATAATTAACAAAAGTATAGTTAGAACATGTAAATAAATTTTAATTGACTATATTTGATACACTTCATTCTGCTGTTAATTTTCTTCGTAGTTGTGCTATTGAACAATCATATTGTTCAGATAATGATATTCCAGTAATGCTTGATTCTCTTGATTGTATATCATTAATTAGTAAGCAAGAAAAATTAATTTTATCATTAACTGATTGAAATGAAAATAAAAATGATAAATTTTGCTATCTTATCATTGCTAATTATTAATAATCGAATGAAATATTTATCAATTGATAATATTGAAATAGTTACAATTGTTAATAAAGCAAAACTTGAAATAATTAGATTGTCTTAACAACGACAAAAATAAATTGAATTAATTAACAACAAACTTTTCAAGAATTCTTTTAATCAAGTTTGAAAATTGTTCTCTCACACTCGATCCATTTCAAAAACAATCATTGTATCGAGATGTCATAATTAAAGAGAAAATTCATTATTTGGCTCCTGTTAGGTTGATTTGAAGATGTGGGTGTTGATGATCAGATAATTAACAGGTATATCAACACATTCACACCCACACCCACCCTCATCTTCATCTATCTCTTTCTTTCTATTGACCTTGCAACTGTTCTATATTCTTGTGACCGCTACGCTTGACTAATGTTCATTGTCTATCTTTCCTAAATAAACTTATGGTCCATGTGAGTATGAGACGATTTGCTGTTGAAGAAAGCCAAATGAAACGAATATCACTATATTATGGACACTTCTCTCTTCAAGTTCATCACAATACCCACACCCACACTCAAAACTCCACCATCATCACCAACTAAATTATCCGTTAAACAATCAACATTTAAATAATTAACAATTGATCAATTTCTTAAAAAACTTTCAACTACTTCATCTGTCATAGATAAATTCAAAAAAAATATCATAATGCAACAAATGAGACAATTTCAGAAATCAAAAATGATGATCATGAAGAATTGTCTTCATCAAAATGAACTAAGCGATTATCGAATTTTTCTCATATATCAAAATCTGAAACTGATCTAAATAAAATAACAAATGGAATTTTCAACAGAAACTTTAAAAAAATCAAATTGAAACTATTGAACTTAGACATCAATAATCCGATTAGTATTTAAGAAGACATATCGAATAGATCACCCTCACCCATCCATCCTCAAGATTTTTCTGTTATTATCATAAATAAAGTAGAAATAAATCTTAACTAAAGAGACATAGATTTCCATAATAATCGTTTCTCCTATAGTAGAAGAGTTAGAGGATTCTATTTTGTTTAAGTGAATAAATATTTCAGAGAAGTCTTCTATTAGATTCCTCCTCTTAAAATAATAATAAATTGAAAGACTTCCTAATAAGCCGCTCTAGTTTAGAAGATTTTAAAAAATGCTGAAACTATTGGAAGTTTAATCTCAGAGTTGTGATAACTAGGCAGATTTTTGATTGAATATATTGCTCACAGTTATCATTTCTTAATAAAGTATAGTTGTGAGGGAGGGTCTTCTATAATTTCCAAAGAATTCCTTCGTCAGAGGAGTTTTCTTATGCGACGGATATTCTGTTGTGAAGACAGGATTTTATATGACAGTATTTGAAATAAGATGAAGAAGTTGAAACCTATTTTATTTCGATGGATCCAAAGTGCATCGATCTCTCTATAGAATATCTAAAAAATGCACTGTTTATTAAAATTTCACTTCGATCTATGTGATTATCATAATCTAATTAGTTTTTCTTTGGAGCTGAATCAGCAAATAGAATGGTAGACATATTCTCCGGACAACATCCACCAGCTATATCGGCTTTTTCACAAGCTTGACGAATTTCATGTACTTCTTCTTCATTGAATTTGATTTGAACTGCAGCAAGATTTTCTTCTAAATGTTTTATTTTCGTTGTACTTGGTATTGGAATGAAATCATCACCTTGGGCAAGTATCCATGCTAATGTTAATTGACCTGGAGTACAACCTTTCTTCTTACTTAATGCCGTTAATGTGTCAACTAATTGAAGATTTTTTGAAAAATTTTCCTTGAAAAAACGTGGTAGACGTCTTCGAAAATCGTTTTCTTCAAGATCATCTAAACTTTTAAGTTGTCCTGTAAGCATTCCTCGACCTAAAGGTGAATAACAGACAATAGCCACACCCAGTTCTCGACATGTTTTCAAAAGGCTAATTTCTTCTCGTTCAATATCGAGACCAAATGGTGAATATTCGATTTGTACACATGCAATTCGATGAACAGCATGTGCTCGTCGAAGTGTATCGCTTGAGCAATTAGATAAACCAAGATATTTAACTTTGCCAGCATCAATAAGTTCTTTCATAGCACCGACAGTTTCTTCAATTGGCACAGTTTTATCAATACAATGTGCATAATAAAGATCGATTGAGTCGAGACCGAGACGTTTTAAACTTTTTTCACAGGCTTCATGAACATATTTAGCATCACCACGAACTAAGAAAGGTTTGAATTCAGGAGACATCACAAGTGCAAATTTTGTGCCAAGAAATACCTTGAGATTAGAATATTTTACATCAGAATGATCTATATATTATGATTATTTTGCTGACCTTTTCACGTTGACGTGGATATTTCTTGAAATATCTTCCCAGTAAGTCTTCACTATCACCATAGACATCGGCCGTATCAAAAAAATTACTGCCAAGTTCAATTGCACGATCATAAACTTTGAACCGTTCTTCGTCTGTTTCGGGAGTTCCATAGCCTTTTGCTGAAACCATTGCTCCAAAACCAATAGCTGACACTTGAGGACCGATTTTTCCCAATTGACGAGTTGGTATTTTCGCCATTTTTCACTTTAACGTATGAAAAATACTTGCTGCTTGAATTTAAAAGTCGAAATATTTTGTTCTCTGTGCAAATAATATAAAACACAGGTGTTCTGTTTTTTAATATGTTCTCCGTGTCGAGTGATAAAATAAAAAGTGAATTGTCTCTATACACACCGACGTGACAAAGAAAAGGTAAGAAAGAAAATATATACATGATAAGCACAGTAAAAACAACGACTTGACATTTTCACAACTTACTTTACTTGTATCCTTGAAATACTATCTCGAGTGTGATTGATGAGACGAACTAACACAATATAGGTATTTCACTTTTTTCCGATAAAGATTATCAAGTGACTAACGAGGGAACCCCACCAACCGATTAAAAGCTTTTGGGCTCATATCCTGCTCATAAGTATGGCTGCGTAGATAAACTGCCTCTCGTGCTTGAATTACAACATTGTAGCATTTATGTACAATGTCGAGCTGTTGTAAAAATCATGTTGTTGTGGTAATTTGATGAGATAACTTCTATAGAAAAGAGATATCAAGTATTATTATTTTGATATAATAAAATTGTTTGAAATATATGCTTCATAAACCATCACATACGTTCATCAATTATTTATAACTGCTGTTTCAGTTGCATGCCTTCTGATTAGTGCTTAGTCTTTCATTGTCATCTGACTGATGTATTTTATGGGCTTCATTCGAAGTCACAGTCTACATCAGAACAAGTATACAGGAAGGATAAAAAGAGCTTTCTATAGAAATATGACAATATTGTAATTCATCCACTAGAAATAGTTTATCTACGCTTCTGGTCCTAAACTTGGAACGTTCGTATCTCAAGCAAATAGGTCCATGAAAGCAAATTCTTTTGGGATTCCTCTAGTCCCATCACGTCCTACTTATGGCTAGGATATGAGCCCAAAAGCTCTTAATTAGTTAGCGGGTTTCTCTCGTTAGAAGAAAGTTTGGGATGAATATTCAATGTCTCTTAAATCATGATAGAGTAGTTACACTTTTCTGTTCCATATTTGATCTCTTGTTTGATGTGTCATTTACTTTCTATTTAGTTTTGTTATGGACCATAACTTTTCAGCAGTCACGTTCATATGAAAAATGTTTGAAAGAAGAAATCAAATCAATTTTCAGCCAAAAAAAAATCTAGATAAACAAATATCGTTTGTCAGTTTTTTATTGTTAAAAAAAAATCATCTCATCATCAATTTTCAGATGGCACAATCAATCGTTGACACAAGCAAAAAAAAAAGGACCGTTCAATGCATTTACTTCGCTTATGAATAAATGATTTTCTAATTCTGGTTGGTTTGATAAAAATTCGACCAAGTTCCAATCACCAGAACTGCTTGATAATGCATATTTCTTGATCTTTCGTGAATAATGCATCATTTCATTTCGATTCTTCTTTTTTATTAAATAATCAATGGTAACTAGTGATTCTAAGTGATATTCATCACTAACTTTTTCAATAATTTCTGCAATAAAACGTAATTCTTCATCATCATGCTTTTCCTTGTTACGTTGAATAAAAACTTGTTTAACTTGTTCTAATCGTGATTTTGTGAGTGTCGTCATTGATAAATTTTTCTCCAACAGCAACAATTGTAATTTCGAAACGACAGGTTTGAATAGATCAGAGATAAAATTCATTGTTTTTACTGCTTCGGATTCTACTTCCAGCTTGCTAACTTTGTTTGCCAAATCATTCATATTTCTTTTCATATTGTGTAATTCACTGATCAAGCGTGAAAAGCTTTTGTCGATTGATTGCTTCAGATCAGCAAGAGCAGTAATTAATACATCAAGATCTTTTAATTCAATCGGTTTCATTGATTCCACGTGTTTTTTCTATTTGTTCGAATGATTGATTGATTTCCGTACGAATTGTATTCATGCTAACTGCTGATAATGCATGCTGTTGAGTTACTGCTACAATATGTTTTTCACATTTATTAATGTAATCTTGTTGTTCTAATTTTGAGCAACAATCGTCAAAATTGTTCAAAAATTCTTGTATTATTTCAAGAAAGTTTATTAATAATTCATTATTATCTATTCGATCATTTTCAATAATATTTCGTAATGATTGTGCCACTTGACGATTTGGTGATAAAGTAGTTGACATCGATGAATGTCTGAAATAAGAAATAAACAAAAAAATTCCATGTCATTTATTCAAGATCTTTTCTGTATTCGTGCACTAACGATAAGATACGAATCGAACAATGCACAGTGGGCAACAACATGAACATTTGGTGAAAAAATGAAAGTGATATTTTTCGCGATTTGAATAATGTCCAATATACTTTAACCAATTGCCGATTTTTTGAAACCCTTTTTTTTTTATTTTAACTCTTTAGAACATCGAAAAAGCTTAGATCCAAAAAATGCCCTGATTTCTGTCATCTTAGAGAAAAGTGTTTTGTTTCAAAGAAATTAGAATGATTTAAAGAATAAATCATGCAGATTCTGAAAGTAGAGCTCTTGCTCTAACAGTCTTTCCGTTAGAAAAACCATGCATTGTTTCTCAACCGCGATTTTTCCAAAAAAGACATGTTCAGTGTAGTCAGTGCGCACACTTTAGCACAGCTTCCAAACGCGCGAAATTTTCACATAATGTATAAATCTGTTTGACACATCTACTCACTTAGCGTAAAGATGCGTAAATGCTCCTGGACTGGGTTAGAGGTTTTATAAAAAACTCCGGTTCTCCAGGTTATTCTTTAATTTTTGGGGGTTAGCAGTACTTTCAGACAAAACTAATCAAATATTCAGAATCAATACGAGAAACTGCATTGAATGATGTACCTTTCAACGACTTCAAGACGAGATCACTTCTCAACAAAATCCAGTCATACGTGAAAGTACCAATTTTCAATGTTTCGTCCGCAATGACGTGAAACTACAAATCTACAAAGATTATTAACTAGGCTAATGATGTTCGGTTGTGATACAGTCAGAAACAATGGTAAGATCTTGGATCTTTGGAAAATGTGGACACATAAAAAATCTTACAGATATCTTCAATCGATTGTTTTTAAGAAGCGATCCTGTCATAAATTATATTGTACAACATTCTTGTGCAAAAACAAAAAGAAAAGACAAAACAGTTTTGACATGTAACAATGAAGACGATAGCCTTTTTTATAGTATGCTTGCAGATAGTTAATTATTCTGCATTTTATTTTATTTTTATCAGTTTTTTTTTCATTAATTTTAGTTTTAGCATCAACTTTGATTCTTTTTACGTATACATGGCAAATATCCACGAAAAATGACCTTGAAGTACCGGTCTACAAGTTGTAAGAGAAGTCTAATGACTTGACCAGCTGCATTAAAAAAAAAGTCAAGCGGTGGTGATGGGCACTATATACTATACGACGACGTGCTTTTCTAGTCTGAGCTCTTGTTAGCATTTGCTAAAACATAGAAAACGCTTCAATTTAAGTATTCTATTAAAAGTAGTTTCCAAAGACCTGGATTTCAAGAAAACTTTCTTGAAGGTTCTGTAAAACCTTTTTATTACCAGATTCAAAATCAGCGTACTCAAAAATGTATAAGAAATGATGTTCAAATCGGAACTAGATATTTAAACGACCATTTTGATCTCTGGAAAACCGATGATTTTTAGAAAACCAACTTAAAAGTACTTCTGAGTTCTGCAAACTACTCTATTGAAAAGAGCACATGCGAAAACCTATAAGAAAAGTACTTTTGAATATATTGGAGTGTTTTAAAATAAAATGTCCACGTGCCTGTGAAAAACTGCCCACTGTGGACCAGTCACGAAGTTTAATCAAAAGTTGATAAATTATAGTCTTTATTTTTCTCGTTTTTTCAGTTATATGTAGAGTATGCTTTTATAGTATAGTTTCAATAACTATCCGCTCTGAAATTATTTAAATCAGATCAAATAACTATAGCTACTTACCCGCTCATTCACAAGCATTGATAAATAAGAATGCAACGGAAAAGGTACGAGTCTATAGTAACAGTCAAATATCTGAAATTTTATTTCTCATTTATCGTTGGTGACACTTGTCTATTTGTGTTTGTTTTCTGAGCTTCATCGACTTAATATTCTTGTATCTAGTTTCACAACCTTCACCATACTTTAAATTTATAGAAGAGTACCAGATCTTCATTGTCAAAATGCATACATGTTCGTACTAGAAGCTTAAAATTATGTCATCAAGATCTTCTCTTACATTCAAATAATCTTCAGCATAGATTTTTATCCATATTTACAACAATATTTTCAGCCACATCAACGTCAATTTACTAAAATACTTTTATATGTTGCACAAACATTAACTGAACTTATTCTACCTGATATTCTGTAAAGTATTTGTAAAACAGTTGCAAATAATTTTATAATAGAATTGTTAAATTTGTGCGAAATGTTATTGAGCAATGAATGAAAAATGATTGCATGATCTTTCAAAATAGAAATCGTATCATGATAAATTTGTTTCAGCTTCAGCTCGTTCATTAAATTAATTATTTCGTGAGAAAAATCTATTTTTATTAGAAAGAAAAAATTAAGAAAAACCAACTGAACTTTAATGACGTGATCTTGTTCCACTTGATTATGCAGAAATAAATTCAATATCATATTTTTAAGGTACTGAAATACTTCAAGCTAGTCTCAGTGATCATGATTAAGAAACAATTGATGAAAACGAAGAACAAGATGATGAGCAGATTTAGTTGCAAGAAGCAGAAAAATAGATATACGTAAATGTGTTAGACAAAGTCGGCAAGCAAGAAGCCATCGAATCAAGATTGGTTTCGTCTTTCTGTTTTTATTCATTCTTCAAATAAGAGTACCAAGTCGACACGGAGAAAATCATTAAGAACATTAAAATGCCTTTTTCCCTATTTGCATAACGTCATCAACCGGAGATGCAGAATCTGCTGAAGATTCCCGCAGAATACATGAAAATCTAAATATTATTAATTCCAGGCGCTTGAATATGTCCAAGTAAGAATGCCATTTTTAACAATATGCATTGACGAATCTACGACAGTTATTCGGTGGAATATTTGCTTTGGATAAACTCTTTCTCGCGCAAGTTTTGGATAAAATAATTCAGAGAAAATAGCAAGAAACAACTTATGAAGCAGAAAAAAATTGACACTTATCAACTACGATATTTATTCAAAAGCGAATATTCAAAGCCGCCGATCACTGAAAATGAATCAGATGTTTGTTATCTATATGTAACAAATATTTTCTCACGTTCGTTGCTTTCTAATGTTCGACTATTTTTGCTATCATTAAGCTCAACATAGATGCTAAATTTCTAGTAAAATATATTCACATCGATTGTTGAAGTATTGACTCTAGAGTCTGTCCGGCAAACAAATGTTTGTTGCTCATCTTGAAAGAAACAAATCTGTAAGTCGATTTTTTTACACGTACAGGATAAAAATATTCGAGAAAAATCACCATTAAAAGAGTAGATACATTATTATTAAAAAACTCTCCATTATTCGCTATATACCGAAGCTATATGTTTGACACTACTTTTTCTTGTATTAGCTTAACTACATAAGTTAATATCCATTATAAAATCACAAATGAAATAAATTTAGAAAACATTTTATTTAACTCTTTTCAAATATTGCCATTCCAACGGTCAAACCGTCAATGTTAAACTGTACCTATTTATCATCTTTAAATGATTCATATGTGCAACTGATGGGTAGTTCTACAGGATACACATACACCCTCATGCACACTCAGTGTTTTACCTCCTGAGATCAAACCAATTAGTGTATGATCAAAGCGATCAACGAATAGAGTGTGTGTGTGTGTCGTGTAGAAGAATTCTTTGTTTCGCATATAAAGATAAATCGACGGTCAACTTCATTTTTCAATTTATCTTCCCATCAATATTGCTCATAGACTGCTTATTGTAGATTATATAACATATTATCTATCGATTTCTTTATCATTTGATAATTCTTTACACAGAATAAACTGAACAACGTGACTATTACTATCTTTTATTCTTGTCATCTATACAAATGGATACACATACCCATTTAGAAGATTTATCAAATGAAATTTTCTTCGAAATATTTGATTATTTACATGCACTTGATATTTTTACTGCTTTTGCTTCATTGAATAAACGAATTTTGTCTATTCTAAAATCAATTTTACTTCATGTTATCATCTTAAACAGTCATTATGATCGAGAAATACAATTTCTTTCTTTTCATCTTACTTTTCATGCTCATCAAGTCATCTCATTAAAAGTTGATGATACAATTCGTGATCGTGCACCTATTATTAGTTTACTATTTAAACGACATCATTTTATTAATCTTCAATCATGTATATTTATGTCGATTAATTCATTAACTCTACTTGATAATGTTATTAAACAAGTTAAAAGTTTGAATAGACTTGTTACATTTGTTATCGCCCAACCAATTTATCAAAATATCAATGAAAAATACATATGTGATATAACTCGAACTATATTGATGCACAAATCATCTTTTCGTTCAGTTATGCTTCGTTATAATTATGATTACTTAGACATATCAACTTATACTTCAATTGCTTCGAATCTTATATCACTTGATTTGTTAATGTCGTCTGGCTCACTGAATACAGTTTCAGTATATTCAATTTTGCCAATTCTTCGTGTTTGCCATAGAATACGGTATCTACAAGTCATAATAAACCATCAAATTGTATCTGAAAATAATAATTTAAAGTAAGTTACAGCGAAAATATCCGACGAATATTCTGTATAAAATAAGATTGAAAATATAATTTTTTCTTTTAGTGTTTCAATTTACGATCCATTTATTAATGAAAATGATCTTCATATATCACCACAAGTGACAACTTTCGGTTTATCAACATTTGTTATATGTGACATTCGTTCAATCGCTTATATCTTACGTTGTATGCCTAATCTTATTCGATTTAAATTCCTTCATGGGACACGAACAGTAGCCTTACCAGTTGTTGATGATTTAGTCAATGGTTATGTATGGCAACAGATGTTAGAAATGCATGTTCCATTTTTGTCTAGATTTGATTTTCATATCTCAATTGTGAAAAGTTATCCAAAATTAGATATAGACATGGTCGTAAATTCATTTCAATATTTTGTTAAAAAGTATCCCAAATGGCAGATGATTATTGATCGATGGGTACCTACTTCCAATATGTCACGTAAGTTAAATTGCTTTAAATCGGAAAGAAAGAATAAAAACACTAACCAACGTTTACTGAGAGTTGTTTGGAGGAAATGAGAAATAGTGTCTATCGCTGCCATTGATTATATTTTATTTTAATGACATTTATGCAAGTGTTTCTATACGTTAGAACTAACTCCGATGCTTCGATGTTTCGGGCGTGACAGTCAAAATCTTTTTGACTTCTATTATTCCATAAATAGATAACTTTGAATAGTTCTCTATCGATCTGCAAGAAAATATTTCTTTTGACAAAATTTGGATCTAAATAAACGATTTTCGAGACCCACTATCTCGGAAAACTCGACGTCAAATAGAAATGCAATCAGAAGATGAATTTCAGTCTATATGCTGTTTTTCTCTTATTACAGGCAATGTACAGAAATAAAAAAGTATTCAGAAGATGAAAACAACTTCATCAGGTTGAGGCTATGGTACGATTCCGAGCTCAAAAGAATTGCTTTTCTTTATGATAAAGGAGAAAAAAAATATTCAAAATCTATCATAAAAATAATGGATCAACCAACTATCAGGTTGACTATGAAATTTCCGTGTTTCAGGCTTCACAGTCATCTATCTACCTTAAAATACTTTTCTATCACAAATATCGACTTTGGTAGGACGAGGAAAGGAATATTCATACAATATCAAAAGCCATGCACAGACAATCAATTATTTGACAATGAAGAGACTCAAACTTTAGCCTATGAGAATCTGTTTATTGTGAAACCAAATTTTTTCATCATACAGTTTTTTTTCTTGTAGTAGAGATTGTTATGTTACGCACATTTGCTTATCACAAATACAAAAGAAATCTAAGTACAAGTATTCCATTGATGAATTATGCATCATTTGAGACACGATCAACAAAAACAACAACAAATGATCATTATCTTTATTATTCAGACACAAAATATTTAGAATTGGACATGGAAAAGATAACACCAAGAATTACTTGTTCTTTTCCTTTATTTCAACATATCAAGTGTCTCGTCATATATGTGCCAATAATATCTTCATCATCGTCGAACAATTCATTGAATATTGGTAAGAAGAATACATATTTCTTTTAATTATTCTTCCCGTCATTTTTATTCATTATCTTTTTTTAGTGAACTCTGTTCAATCAAATGACAATGATGATTCACAGCAATGTGTTACCTATCTTTCACATGTTGTTCATTTACTCAATGTAAATCAAATTGGCTTTCAATCATATTCTGATACATCTGGATGGAAAGATATTCAATTTATTCTACAGTAAGTATACTTGATGTTGATAGAAAAAAACATTTGATTCTTCATTTTTCATTTTTCTAACAATCTTTTATAGATAATCAAATTAAGTGATTTTTATGATTTCTAAATCTATGAGTTATTTTTGATAATTCTAATATTTTTTTTTCTCAATGAATAATTTCATTTTATGTCAGAGAGATGATATTGAATTCTATAGAATAATAATCACTATCAATAAATATAAATATATTGAGTATATTTTATTTTTCTGTTTTAGAGCATGTCCAAATGTGATTAATCTTACAATTAGTCCTTTATATTTGGTTTTATCAGAATTCATCGATAATTAATTTCTTATTTCAATTTTCCAACAAATTAAAATACTCAAATCAATACAAGGAAAGCGTTATGTTCCTTCAAATTTTGTATCAAAACTCGTCCAACGTTTTCCATCACTTACTGATATTGAACTTCAAGTGTTTTCATTCGATAATTGTGTATCTACTATTGATATATTACTTAGTCATCTAAAAAACTTGTCTTATCTTAAAATTTATTATATTCAAGTTTCATTACTCGATCATTCCTTTTCACATAATTATATTATTAATAAACGTCGTGAAGCATTTGGTTTTAATACTATCGATGAACATAAGGTTATAGCTAGCAGAAATGTAGAATCTGTAGAAAGTAGATTATCATAATTTTATATGTATATAGATTTTGTTTTGTGTAAATAAAGTTGAAATGAATATGTGTTTTTTAAGTTATTTTTATTTGAAGTAACAAAGCTTATTTCTGATTGTTGTATGATTTCGAAGGTTAGATGAATATTCAGGTAAACGTGATACATTGTCTGGGATCAGGCACGTACCGAGAAATTTTCTGTGGGGGGCGGGCACAATGTGAAAAAGAAAAACTTCGCTGCGCAAAAAAATTCTGCCTGTACCCTCCTCCAGGCGTTTTCATTTCTGAGGGGGGGAGGGGGGAGCGGGCTCATGCTCCCCCCTTCGGTACGTGCGTGTCTGGGATGCTTCCAAAATAAAATGTTCAAAAATAATTGTTACATTTGATCATTTTCTTGAATCATTATTGTATTCAACTACGTACATGTAAAATATTCTAAGGACATTTCGATTAGCTACAAGTCGACAACTAGAGTTTTATTCGTGTGCGTCTATTTACATAATCAGTATGTATGTCAATCATAATCATTAAATTGTTTATGTCTATGAAGCTTTTCAAGTTTCATTGATATTTGAAAAGATTTCTACATATTTACTCGTCCTTTTAATTTATTGACCAAGCTAATCGAGAGATTTGATCGATATAATGTGGTGTACAAATTAGTCATTTGCAATTTAGAAAACTTTAATTATATCGGTTGTTTCTTAAGTGAACAGCCTGAATAAGGTCTTTTGTTTACAATATTTTGTTGGCAATCACGTCTCATATGAAACATGTGAGAAAAGTCATTGACATATTCATTTTGAAAAAGCTATTTAGGAAGTATATTGAATCAAAATCCGATATCCGTATTCTTTACATCTATTTCTCCCTTATCTGATAATTTATTTTCGTTGAAATAACATAATTAAAAATATACAACTATGATATTTCGAAATATCTATCAATCCTCAAAAGAAGTGGCACCTATACGCTTCCTCCTCTCTCTCACTAGTTTGTTATTCTCTTTAAGGCGCCCTCCCCCTCCCCTCAAAAATCGATCTCGGGTTCGGTACATGCAAATCGCATGAGATTTTCAGAATACGTTGGGGCTGTAGTGGAGAGGCTATGATAAAATTTTCAGCCCTATAATATGACGTTTGAGGGAGATATGCCCCAAACAACGGTCAAAAATAGCTTATTTGGCATCCCAAAATTCTCTGTGGATCTTCATTCTATACTTTTTTTTGTTTTGTTTGAAAGATAATTCATTTCTCAATGCTTAAAATAAAATACAATTCAGTTAATGTCCCATATACGATCATCCGATAAACAATAACGAGAAAATAAAACAATGTTTCATAGTGTGAAGTTGTAACAAAAAAAAAAGAGAGAGAGAGAGAGAGATCTAAAAAGAATATTGTTGAACATTGATCTCATTTTCTATAATCGATTTTGTTTTATATAGAATTCTTAACCATTCTGTAAAAGAATTTAATATAAGCAACAGTTAAAAGCAAAAGAAGCAAGTTCTCAAAATGTAACCAATTATATTGATAAAATTAATGTGAAAAGACAAACATCTAACTGACATCAACAACATACAAATGTTTCAATTTTTAATATATATCCTATTCTGAGATGATCGAATATCAAAATTATTGACTTTTTTCTAATAGATCCAATTCACTGACAAAAAGCATAAATCAATCTAAAACTACGCCTACAGAAGACTATGTCAAATAGGATTGCATAGAGCAAGCGTAACATATTAACAGGACACCTACCTATGTAAAGATGTCAAAATACAATGAATTTTTAACCCTGACACGACCACCTGGGGTCGGTACAGACCCAGGTGGTCAATAAGGGGTAGTTTTTAAGTTGGTCGTTTCAAGGTTAAATTTCAATAACCATATTATTAGCTCTTCGTCATTTATCATTTAATTATTTGAATAACATAAAAAAAACAAAACGAAGCGCCGCTTAGAGCACACAGTTAAGAGATCAAAACATGAGTAAATAATAAATAAGGGAAAGTAAAATCTTGACTAGGAATAAGATTAAGAAAGAAAATATAGAAGATACATGTAAATGAATACTTGATACAACAAATAATATATGTATGTGTCTTTGGTTGTTTAGGATTTTTTCGTTGGTATTGTTCCACCATTTGTTGCCTTTTTAAGTCGAGATATTGGCAATGGAATTTTGCTTGGTCGATGTTGTTGTGTTGAAGAAGTAATTGATGATGTTCGTCGAGATTTATCTATCGATCCCTTAAAAATCACAATCGATGAAGAAATAGAAAAACAAAATATCAAATATTACTCGATTCAGTGTTGTAACTGGTGATTTTTTGGATGCTGCTAATTGTTGTTGATGATAAAGACTTGTTGGTCGATGAACAGTAACAAGTCTTGGCTTAAATAATGTCACTGTTTGAGCAACACCATCACATAAAGCATAACTTTCGGGTTGTAATTCATAATTAATACGACCTTTAGCTAAAACAATGAATAAATAAGATAAGTTAGTTATTATATCAATATAAAAATAAACACATTGCAAACAAAAATAAAACATCACAACACTCAGTGCTAAAAATCTACTATCACCTGATTGTTATTCTGGTACATAATATAAACGTCCTGCAACATGTGATTATATACAAAGAAGCACAACAACATAAAGCACATTTAGATTTAAAAAAGTAAAGAAAATACAAAGAAGGACAAAGGTACCTACAGCAACAGTCGTCAGAAATCGACTGTAGGCATGCATTCCTGTATATAATAGTATTTTTGTTAGTACATAGGGCACTACAAAAGTTTTTCGTATAATTTTCGATTCTCATAAAACTGACTTAACGAAAATCATGTTCGTTTAGAAACTAAACAAGTCTAGATCGTACAATTCTCAATTTTAGTATTGCACAGGTTGACATTCAACTGTTATTTCAATCATAATCAAAAACTGATTCTTAGACGAACTCCAGGAGGGACGTCGACCTCTCGGCCCCACACTGGAACGAGTAATCTATCATCTACCCTTTATGACAGTTTGAATCATATTTCACAAAATAACGGTCTTTGAGAATTATGAAAACTTTTGTAGTGCTCCATATATGAGAGAAAAATCAGAAGAAAGTAAAAATAAATCATACCTCGACATGGATCATGTCGAACAAGAAATTCATCAAGTGCTGTCCAACCTCCACCAACTCGAACCGAGTCTATGGGTTTTTTTAATTCAAATTAAATTTTGAAAAAAAAATAACAGCCCATTTTTACCAAGGCAGAGAAACTAAGGGGACTAAGAAATTCTTTAAATTCAGAATGGAAGAATTCTTTGGTATCTTGTCTCCTGTTCCTTATAAGAAAGGCTACTATAGATACATACATAACATATATAGAATTCAGTCGACATATGGTATATCTATAGTACCTTTTTTGAGGGTGGGCTAGGAGGACTAAGGGGACTAAGCGGACTATTCAGTAGGGAAGCGTGTTTCCCCACCTAACACACCTTTTATTTCAGCGTCGCGGCGTGGGGGCGCGAAACGCCCCCTGAAGAGCCGCGACCCATGCACGTCTCTGTGTACACCATTATTTCTACCCTTAGGCCGGTTAGTTAGTCCCCTTAGTCCCCTATTTCAATTTGAAATCAAGTGCTCTTTTTTCTTTTTAAATTCAGATTGAATTTAAATAATCCATTGTATGAAGAATTTAATCACGATCATTATTCCATCATTTTTGGACGAAGGCAGGAATTCAAATCCCTCGCTGCCTACTTCAACATTCATTAGCCATCATATATCATAAAGAAATCTCGAATATGACTTACTATTTTTGTATTTTCTCATTTAATTGTGTACATTTTGAATCAATATTACTTAATTGTTCTTCAACAATATTTGTTTTTTCATTTTCTTCTATGTCATATTGATCTTGTTGTATTGTTCCATCAATTTGTTGTTATTTATGTTGTTTAATATCTGTATCATCATGTTTTAATCTAACTATATAAAGATATTAACAATCTGGATTTTCTTTAAATGTTTGAATAACTTACTTTCAAATCCATTCTTATCTACAGCAGTTGTTTGACATGGTGTACCATGAAACCATGGTGATATATGTTCTAATTTCACATTAAATTTCGTTGATTCAAGCATAGCTTGTTCTAATTTCTTATTACATTGATTTAAATTTTTTATATACGATTCCATTCTTGTTCTAATTCATTTAAACTACGTTGAATATCTTCACTTGCTTCGGGATTATTTGAAATTAATGTTAATAAATATTAACTATGTTGTTCAAGAATTTCTTGAAATTTGATTTGATTTATAGAAAAATCATTTGCTAATTTATTATATTTATCTTTTTCATGCTCAATATGTTTACGTGATGTTGAACGTGGACGAATTTGTGTTAATTCCTTTTCTATATTATTTAAAAATGTTGAAAGTTGGTTATGTTGAGACCAAAATGTATTTGCACATGCAATTTGACGTCGTTCTAATTTACTTTCTACAGCAGCATTATGAATTAATTGTTCATTTAATTTAATTGATTGTGCAGATATTGTATCAGTTGTTGCTGAGGCTGATAATTCTGACAATTCAGTCATACACACTAAAATAAAATGTGTCGTATATATGTGTCGTACAAGAATGTGTCGCAGACTCCATTACAAAAATGTGTCGTACAAAATGTGTCGCATTATAGATGTGTCATAGCCTATATGTCAATCGTTCATTCACTGATTTGTTTCGCGAGTGCAGCTGCATATAACCGAGCCTATTGGACATACTTGACTTATACATTTTCGTGTCTTTTTTTTCTAGATTATTTCTCGACCATTTATTATTCGAGAACATGTCGAGAGGTCGCTAGATGATCGAGAATAGACTGCCTCGAAGTAGTCTGATCGAGATCAAATGGTCTCGAGGCAGCTAGATCTTAAGATCTACCGTCTCGAACTCCAAGAATAGGTGCTACTATTTGAAATTAACTGAAAAAATAGTAACTATTCGAATTTTCAAAAAAAAAAATAATCCTCGTACCGAAAAATGGATTCGAACCACGTGTTAAAAATGTGTCGCATGTGTCGCACAAGAATGTGTCGTACGTCCGCTGGAAGAAATGTGTCGCATATTAATGTGTCGTACATTGTGTCGCAAAGTACGACACATGCGACACATTTTATCTTAGTGTGTAGCTAAATCAATTTCGTTTGTATCATGAAGAAGTTCATCAATTAATCTATTTGTTATTACCGGAGATATCTAAATAAATAATAATTCATCTATTCGCTCTATTTTAATTCTTTTACCACTTCTTCGGCATCATCTTCATCGACAAAGTCGAACCCGACTAGGTGGTGATCTTCACCCGACACAGCCCCTTCCCCGTTATCCATCAACACGGGTGAGGCATCATCACCTAGAAAATCATCATTTGGTTCAATAACGTTAATTTCATCATTCTAAAGCAAAGAAGCAATTATGAATGATTTTAATCAAAACCGCTCCGCGGTGATATCTATCAAGATTTCATTTTACTCACTTGAATTTGTTCATCCGGAATGAATTTTTTTGTTTGGTGACATCTGAAAATAAAAGATATTATTAGTATAATATTATCACATATGTTCAAATTGAAACATGTGAAGTAGAAATAAAATAATGAATGACAATAACCACAGTCATACACAAAGAGACAATGTAAAGACAAGTATCCATACAGATAAGTTCAATTATTGACTAATGTTGATTACAATAAAAAAATTTCGTTAAAAACTAAAACATTGGTACCTGATATGAAAAATTTGATTTTCTAAGAAAGACTATGATTTTATTTTGCTTTATATATTAAGCTGAGGTAACGACATCTACGTCGATATTTTATAAAAGCATCAGATTAAAGAAACGAAAGTTCGATTTGATTCGATTGCTATCTCCCATACGAATCATAAATGAATCAAAAGAAAGAAATGATAATTCTGCATTTTGTTGCATTCAATACTATACAAAATGAAAAAAGTGTTTAAATAACGGTGAGACATTGATATATCGAATTGAGCTTTAATAAATCCGTTCGGATGTCTTAGTTGTTTAAAAAAGTTAGAACGTATGTTTTTGTAAATCATTCAGTAGACTAACAGAATGGGAGAGATATAAGTTTTGAGATGATTTTTGATCAGTGAATACTTGTGCAAATAGTAAACTAAATGAAATGATTGAATATATCAATTATTTTTGAACATTGTATTTTTGAAGCATTCTAGACAATGTATCAATTTTACTTTAGTATTCATCTAATTTTCGAAGTCATACATCAACCAGAAATAATCTCTGTCACTTCAAATAAGAATGACTTAAAAGACACATATTCATATCAACTTTATTTACACAAAAAAAAATCTGTATACATATAAAAACATGATAATCTAATTTCTACATATTTTCCATTCCTTCTAATTGTAACCTTATGTTCATCGATAATATTAAAACCAAATGCTTCACAACATTTATCAATAATATAATTATGTGAAAACGAATGATCGAGTAATGAAACTTTGACTATAATAAATTTTAAGATAAGACCAGGTTTTTAGATGACTAAGTAATATATTAATAGCAGATACACAATTATCGAATGAAAACACTTGAAGTTCAATATCAGTAAGTGATGGAAAACGTCGAGCAAGTTTTGATGCAAAATTTGAGGAAAAATAATCATTTTTTGTTATTAATTTGAGCATTTTAATTTGTTTGAAGATTGAAATAAGAGATTGATTATCGATGAATTCTGATAAAGCCAAATATAGAGTACCAATTATAAGATTAATCATTTTTGGACAAGCCCTAAAATAAAAAAATATAGTCATTATATTTATATTTAATGTCAGTAATTATCAGGCCTCAAAATGGGCCCCGGCTCGATGTTTATTCTTTTTTTTTTTACTTTTTATCAAAGTTTATGCCGTCATAAGTGATAAAAATTACTAAAAAAGTTTCATGATAGAAAAACTATGTGGACTTCAATCCGAGTAATATAATAAACCATAGTAATTGCTTAAACTGATCGTATCTCGGGTCCACACGTAGTGTTCTGTAGTATATCAACTACGTTAATTAATGTGATAATGTGATCGACGAAAAAAAATGTGTTGAAAACAAATCAGGCCGAATCTAATTCATTATAATACTGATTATTTCCTCCCGAGAACATTAATGATTATCGAAATGATCTCCAGATTCTATTAGGAGAAAAATCGTGGTAAATGAAACATCCTTCTGGCCTGAGCCGGACCACCAAAAAGTGGCCCATTCCAAGCCCTGGTAATTATTATTCTGTAGAATATAAGATTATCTAGCTGATATAAAATGAAATTATTCATTGGAGAAAATAAACTAGAAGTAGTAATAATAACTCTTAAATTGAAACTGGAGAATCATATATTTCTTTCACCAATATAAAGTATACTTACTATAGAATACATTGAATATCTTTCCATCGAGATATATCAACATTTGACCGAAATTCGATTTGAGTTACATTATGTGAATACACAAAATGTGAAAGGTAAGTAACACATTGTTGTGAATCATCATTCTCATTTGTTTGACGAGAGTTGACTAACAAAAGACAATAAATAAAAATGAAATGAAGAATAATCAAATCAAATTTGTCTATATACGATAAAAATCGAAAATATTCAGCTTAAATAAATTGAAAATGACAAATTCATTTTCATCAACTGAACTATATAATTAAAAGAAATATGTATTCTTCTTACCAATATTCAATGAATTGTTCGACGATGATGAACATATTATTGGCATATATATAATGAGAGAATTGATATGTTAACGTAAAGGAAAAGAACAAGTAATTCTTGGTGTTATCTTTGTTATGTTTAATATTAAATATTCTGTATCTTAATAATAAAGATAATGATCATTTGTTGTTGTTTTTGTTGATCGTGACTCAAATGATTCACAATCAATCAATGAAATTAATGAATATACGTTTGTTTTGTGGTTGTGATAAGCAAATGTGCGTAACATGATACATTCTTCTAAAAGAAAAAAAGCTGTATGTTTCCAAAGACTTAGTTTTGGAATAAGCATATGATCTCATTGGCTAAATATTGAGCCTTCATAATCAAATTAGTTTGTTACCTGTGCATAGCTTTTAATATTTTATGAATATCCTCTTCCTCGTCCTACCAAAGGCGATTTTTGTGAGAGAAAACTATTTTAAGGTAAATAGATGGCTATGAAGTGTGAGGGAGGAGAATTTCATAGTCAAACTGCTTGTTGGTAGATCCACTATTGTTGACAAATCTTGAATCCTTCTTTCCTCGTTTGCCGTAAAAAATATCAGCCATTTTCTCCAACGAATTCAAATATTGCAGTTCCAACGTTCAAAACATGTTTTTAACTTCATTCTAGCTAATTAGTATTTATTTATTTGAAAGGATGTGGTTAGTTGCAGAGCCTATTTTTTGGATTGAACTATATAGTATTTTTATCATATTTGAAAGCACTTCTATAAAGAGACTCCCAGTTTTATAGACGTTTTTGTGGAAGTTGAACTTGTGAGGTATTTCTTCCGCATAAGTAACAATTAAAAAAGGACTTTGTCAAGATCCCCAGACAAAGTGTCTTCTGTCGAACAAGAAAGAAAATACTTGTTTAAGACAAAGACTGGCGGAAAATTTTGGATTATCAAAGAGGCTGTTTTAAGCCCTTAGATAGTAAATATCTACTGAATGCGTAATGCTACTGACTCGACAATCATACCATAGCCTCTCCACTACAACCTCATCCTGAAAAAGGGTTTTTTTCCCTTCAGAGTACTTTTTCTTGTTGTACATTCTCTGAAATAAGAGAAAAACACCAGATCGACTGAAGCTCATTTCCAGTTTGAGTTTCTATTTGACGTCGAGTTTTCCGAGATAGCGGGTCTCCAAAATCGTTTCTATTGATGTTGAAACTTTGTCAAAAGAATATTTTTGCTACAGATCGATAGAGGGCCATTCAATGTATGTCTATTTATGAAATACTAAAAGTCAAAAAGATGTTGATTGTCACGCCCGAAAAAGCGAAACACATGGGATAGTCTTAATTTACAGATACACTTCATTAAAATCAATCGAAACGATAGGTACTATTTATTATAGTCTCAAAATAACTCTGAGTAAGCATTAGTTAGTTTATATTGTTTTTTTTATGATTTAAACAAATTTTACTTACGTGGAATTTTGACATCAGATGTCCATCGATCAATAATCATGTGCCAAATAGAATATTTTCGAATAAAATATTCAGATGAATTTTCGACCATGTCTAAATCTAATTTTGGATATCTTTTCATAATTAACATTTGAAAATCAAATTTGCATAAAAATGGAACATGCATTTCTAACATTTGTTGCCATGCACAACCGTTGACCAAATCATCAACATCTTGCATAAAGAAAATTAAAACGAATAAGATTA